TTACATGCCGAATGCATGTCTCGTCGTGTGCCATCACTACAAGGGATTAGAGTATACTAAACTTTACACATTATATAGACTACATTAACGTGACGTTTAGGCGGTTCGGAGGGGGGGGGGTTAATGAAAGTGTTACAAAACGCGACATTAATTTATTGACGATCTAATATATAAACGCATGTCTTAGAATGGCGGAATTTATTTAAAAGCCTAGATTTATTAAAGAATGTGTAGCGTTAGCGCTGAATGAAACGAGTGATGTGAACAAATTAAATGAGGGTAAATAGCTTGTGATTTATTGTTATCCGTAATGTACAGATACTGTGAGTTGACTATTTTGGTGTACGTTCGGCTCAACGAGTTCGACATTTATGAAACTAGCCAAAGATGAAGTATTAATTACGTTGAAATATATTTCAAGGTTTTTTAGTACTGGTATTGAAATTTTCAAATTGAACGGCGCCATATACACTTGGGGCTAAACGACCAGGTCAGATACCCCTAGTGTTCAGTTATGGTATTTTCTAATTATGAACTACTGATCAAAAGAAAGGCAGTCACATCACCCACCGCCACAGGGGTTTTGTCCAACTTTGAACCGAATAACGGAGATGACGGAAACTTTTATAACACACTTACAACTGAAAGTGCAGTGTGTGTGTTCAGCGTATCGCGATGTAGTCTAACCTTGCATCTTTCGATCCCCAGCCCGTCACTCTAACCACTAAGCAATGCCCGGCTCAAAATAAATTGCTACATTACCTGAGAACGATTGGGATTGGAACCCCAGTCTTAAGAGTTTTCTAGGAAACTATTAAAACACCTAAACAAATTATTTTAATTTAAATACAAGCCCTTGAAAATTTATATATCAATTCTCTAATTTTTCTTTTTGAGGTCTTCATTTGAAAATACTGATTCATCTAAATCATTGCTTTGGACCGCGAGTTGTTCTGTAATTGACGCTTAATGGCTCATAGACTTATTAAAAAATAAAAACGCGATGATTCATTACAGAATACGCAGTTATGTACATTTTGGAACAACACATCTATTATAAGTTCTAAAATCTAATAAAACAACTTTCTCCATTTCTGCTCCTTTCAGCATATAAGATACACGTGAGGTTATTTTGCTAACGACTTTTACTCAAAGCAACAGTACCACTTGCCCCAACAATTTCAACGCCACTGAAAAATAGTTGTCTACTACTCTACTATATACTTTACGACCAACATTAATTATTTGAATTTCTCTTTTTTTTTCTTTCGATTTGCTAATTTGTTATTTATTTTTTTAGGATATCAGTATTACTTTAGTAGAAAGTCAAACATTTTCAACTAAATCGAAATAGCTGTCTCTTCCTACCGGGCTTAACTAACACACGAGTGGAGTTTACTTTCGCTTTCACTTGACTCGTGAACAACGAAATATGACGAGTTTTCATTGGCCCAAACACTGGGCTGTTAATAGGTCACTAGGCCTGCAAGCATTAGCGCCATGTGACATAGACCCTACTACTGTGTAGTATAGAGAACCAGTGTGATAGATTATAGACAAAATGTACCTCTAGTTTCTGTCGTTCACATGTCAGATTCGGAGTCGTGAGGTGTTAACTACTCAGGGCATGATATAACATACTGAGTGTATGTTAAACGTGTAGTGCTTATAAGTGATATTTAAAGTATTGGAAATCTTACTGTTTAAATTAAAACATTATGAAGTTTAACAAAGAATAGTTGTTCTGCGAAATTAATTGTTCTTCTTTAAAATGATGACTGCAACAAGTGTTATGAACAATGCTTCCTGCTACATGTCAACTGGACCAATGACTAATTTCAAAAATACAGGATCAATGTTTTCTACTCCTTCACCCGTGGCTCCAAACGGTCATTTCCAGTTTGAACCACCGGACACTAAAGAAGTGATTGAGGAATTGTGTCCAGTGTGCGGAGACAAAGTTTCTGGCTATCATTACGGGCTGTTGACCTGTGAGTCATGCAAAGGATTTTTTAAGAGGACTGTTCAGAACAAAAAAGTGTACACGTGCATCGCCGACAGAAATTGTCATATTGACAAAACACAGCGGAAGCGTTGTCCGTATTGTCGTTTCCAAAAGTGCCTGGATGTCGGTATGAAACTAGAAGGCAAGTATATTGATAAAACATATAAAAGCATTAAATCAATTTGTTTAATTATTCTAAGTCGTTATTTTGCACTTCTGTTGTATTAAACAACTTCCACTTTCTTGTCTGCCTCCAAAGCGATTTTAGCTGCCTTTGCATATTAAGTTAAATATTTTAGGTTTTATGTTTACATATGTTACGTTGATACTAGACCTATCGACTGGAAATTAACCTTATACTCCAAGTTGTGCATAAACATTTTATTGCATAATAAGAACATACTTTTCCAGGTTGACTGATTTGTATTCGAACATACTTTAAAAACTGTTTATATTTCCCAAAATTATTAACATTTTTTTATTAAAACGCTGCCTTAGCGCAGTGTATCAATCTGTAATGATTTAACTTGTAAAAAAAAGTGTAAGTTCGTCTGTCATGTAGAACACGCGATATTAATGAGGTTACCTCCAAGGTGTTTTCTTTTTCACTCAGAACAAACACACTTTCCAAAACACGAGCGAAATCGAAAACTGACCTAGTTGTGATAGCAATGCTGACCCACAGACTAAGAATACAGGTTCGACTGACACAGAGAGGACGATTTAGTAGGTCACTACTAGATAACGTGTAGTATAAATAACGTTAACAGCTAAAGTAAAGTTGGTTCGAGAATGCAACGATTCGGGCGCCGTTAATTTCAGCAGTTTTTAGTGTGTACTGCGAAGAGATAGAAATAAAGCAAACAGAATAAATTCCCGAAAACTGGCAATTTGATTAAAATGCGACATTTCATAGGTTTTGCTGATTGAAATATGGATAAGTTTTGTAGATTGTTAGTTTTAACTACGAATGTAGCATACACTAAATCACTTAAAACAACTAAAATCCAGATGTACGGGAGCCCAAAAGGCCCACCAAAAATAATATACACGTTTTATATAAAAAGGGAGTAAAATTAAATTTGCGGTAGTAAAAATAAAACATATTAATAACTCAATCGGATTTATTTATTCATTCAATAACATTTTTAGCAAGTTTTTAACTCCTCTCTCTATGAGTCGCTTTCAAAGTACTGGTCCCCTCTTGGATTCGCGATAAGTTTCGGACTTACAACACTAAAATCCGAGGTTTGATTCCCCACGGTGAACAGAGCGCAATATAACCCATTGTGTAACTTTGCGCTAAAACACAGAAACACAAAGTCAAACTACTGACACGTTTCTAGAACAAAGTTAAAAACACTATAAGGACAGGACGTGAATTACAACATATAACAACTTTTACATCGCTATTTTATAAATATAAAGACAAGTCGAATTTAAGAAGGGAATTAACAGCTTGTTTAATAAATATTTCATTAAAAATTATTGCATCGTCTGATTTTTTTCCACACTTTTCCTGTAATTTTTTACCAGATTGTGCATTGTAGGAGTGTCAGAACTAGTGTAAAACGGTTGTGGACATTGTGTGAAAGTGTAAAGCTTCTGATGAAAGGCTATCATAAAGATGTTGATGTTAACCTAATTGGGGAAATAAAGCACTTCCATGCTTATATATCTGAAAATTATGTAGATAAAGGACACTTAAATCACCAGGACCTCTATCAAGTTATCATTCGAAACAAGATTCAGTTGGCATTACCTAATGTAGAAACAATATTGCGGCTATTTCTGAGTCTAATGGTAACAAATTGTTCAGGTGAAAGGTCATTCTCAAGAATGAACTGCGGGCAACAATGCTGCAAGAAAAGCTATCTGCCCTAAGTATTATGTGCATTGAGAGTGATAAACATCGAACCTTATCATTTGAGGATATCATCAATGACTTTGCTCTCCAAAAAATCACGCAAGAAAAGTTTTTAATTTCTAAAATGAATGGGGCCTCATAAGCTTGATATAGCTTAGGGCCTCATCATGTCATAATCCGGCCCTGTCCACACAACTAGTCTCTCTATATCTCTGCACCAAGCGGCTTACAGTAGACTGGTTAAATCTACATTTCTTAGCAGTCTGACTTGTCTAAAGCCCATCTTTAACGACTGATTTTTTTTTTCCTGTGGAGTCAACTCTCAGCCCTTAGCCAGGGTAGCATCACACACACGTTGTGTCAGATAGGCTTCTAAACTGCCTCTCAGTAAGAACCTCTATTTATAGCGGAAAAACGGCTGATGCAATACCTAGACTGCCTATAGAGGTGCTGACGTAATAATAAGACAGTAATGCATCATCCATGAAATACATTTGCACCAACATGCACTAGGGCCTCAAAACAGACGATTGTTTTTTGTTTTTGTTTCTTTAATTTCGCGCAAAGCTACACGAGGGCTATCTGCACTAGCCGTCCCTAATTTAGCAGTGTAAGACTAGAGGGAAGGCAGCTAGTCATCACCATGCACCGCCAACTCTTGGGCTACTCTTTTACCAACGAATAGTGGGATTGACCGTCACATTATAACGCCCCCACGGCTGAAAGGGCGAGCATGTTCGGTGTGACGGGGATTCGAACCCACGACCCTCAGATTGCGACTCGAGCGCCTTAACCACCTGGCCATGCCGGGCCAAAACAGACGATGAGTGTCAAAAAATTGGATGCTGCAATAAATTCTTCTACTACTGTAAATGAAAACTTCGTTTAAACGATTTAATTAAAAATGTTTTCATGAAGCACTTTTGTAATTGCCACAAAAAATGCTAAAATTGTGATACTTAAAGGAAAAAACTTTTGTTTCTAACTAACTTAAACCACTGTAGTTGGAAGTTTAGATAAAAAAAAACAGATAAAACTGCTTAAGAAATGCATTAGTTATTTCTACAAAAAATAAAGATTTTTTACATATAAAGCAGAGATAGCATTAATGTTAGGTGACACGATGAGTACCTGAAGGTTGTTTATTGGTGTAATTTCATCTGATTGGGTCTGTACTCTGATATCTCGCCATTCACTTGCAACTCTTAATTGATCAGAAGACAAAATAAACGCATGTTCATTTTACTTGTTTACAAACCATTCAATCAGATATGTTATTCCTCATACATTGTGACCCTAGAAATGGTTTGTTTTATTTACAACAACCCCCGTTTGTAGCTTTCAGTGCATTCATGCCAAAATTAAAATAGATAGTGAAATGGGGATGCCAATATCTTATGAAAAAAAAAATTAAAAGTTAAACTTGTGTTAGGGGTGTGCATAATACAATAATGTAGTCTTCCAATAGTCAGTTATTTTCTGTAGATGGTTGAATACGTTATATTAAAACAATCATGAAAACGTAAATTAGCAAGTCACATGACAACTACAGCCGATATAAAGTCATGATGGAACGGCATATATCAGAACCACATTTTGTCATTGTATGGTGTTATGTAGATAGTATTATGCCATACTAGATAGGAATAACTCTTGTACTTAATGCCCTTTGAAGAAAGAAGAATATGGATCAACTTAGGGCACCCAGGCCATCCAAAAAAGAGATATGCACCAGCCATAATAAGCAAGTGTGACGTCTTGTAACAGATGAGAACCCACGAATACAAAGATTAAGGACAAAAGCTGTTTTTATACCCCAGGAAACAGTATGCCACATAATCAAGAAGGATCTCCGTCTGGAAAAGCAACACAAGTCGCGTATATGCAAATTACTTCCACGACATATCTATTCCACCGCTGCATACCTCAAGCAGCTGGAGAACGAAACGGGTATTCATACTATTCCATAAGAAGCTGTGCAATCGGAATATTGAAACAGGCGCTGGGAAACCGTCGTCCTCATACACTAATATGTATTAGTATAATGGAAAGTCTGCAGGGAGGAATGTTGTGATTTAAACAAAACTTCAGTATGACAGAACCTTTTGCAATAGAAATTATACCGCAGACCTTTTGTCAAGATATCAGATAGAACATTACCAACGTTGCGATATGGACTGTAACAAGTGGTGAGGTTCTAAAATTGGTTTAATATAACGTATTCAGCCTTTGCAGTAGGCCTTTTTATCCTGACTAAATATTTGAACCAGACTTTATCTTGATTCGTATAATTATGCATGTAAATAAGTAGAAACGATATATCTTAATCGAAGGTCTCCTAGTAGAAGTGAACTAAGAAAGCATAATTTTCTTCTCTCTACTTTTCTTTCGAACAAAAATAGTATGCTCATGTCACCTGTCCAAAACAGTTTTTTGTATAATTCAAGATTTAATCTTCACGCCATAGTACTCTATTCACGACACGGTGAATTAGTTATTGTTCTGTATATTTTTTAGTATTTTTTGTACTTATTCGGCCTCAAATGAACCAAGTATGTTGACCATTTCACTGTTTTTGTAGAACTTGTTTAACTGATGCCTTGGAAAGGCACATAGTAACCTAACTTCAGGCTGATCCATTTTACTTATGCTATTTTGTGAAATCAGTGTTATTCTCTTTAATAAAGCAGGAGGCTTCAATATTCACTCAGTTATGTTGTATCCTTACTGGAACCGAGTAATAAATAAATCTTAATAGTAGAAATAAACGACTTTATAACACCAAAATGTTGTTTTTATTTAATTAGACACTCAACGTTTCTCTTTACAGCTTCTTCAGGAGCGTTCACAAAAACACAAACCGGTTTGTACCAGTTTAACGTTGAATATTATTTATGATTTTAACTTTATACACAAGTGCCAAAATACTATAACATTTGAGTGTTATAAGGTCGTTTCTTTTTAGTATTAATATGTTTTCTGTACGCCAATATGCACTACAGAAATTGAATAATAAATAAATATTGGCAGTATGTTTTGTAACAAATTTTGTACTAGATCAAATGCATTGTAAATTTCATTTACAGCGTTCTATGTTTTCGAAATTCTATTTTCTTTCATTTTCAGATGTCCTGTATGATGCATAAGATCCTGGGGAATGTTCTTGATTTTAAAATTGAATTGCATATATTTTAATCAAGAACTCGAAACAGAGGATTCGAACGAACAATGTTTAGTTTATAAAACAGTGATCTTACCAGTGTATTGTCACCACT